CTTTCTAGGTTTAACTTACCTTTATCTATATCAACATTCACGTCAATTTTATTTTCAAATCTGAGTTTTTTATTGGATCTCTTTTGAATTTTTAAATCATTATCTTTACGTTTCTTATCCTTCAATAAAGATATCATTGGATACTTAAAATTATAAATTCGTTCATGTTTATCCAGATGAGACGATATTACTTTTTTAAAAACCAATAAAAAACAAATAAAATTCATTTTATAGGGGTATACTGAAAAAAATTTAATAAAACTTGTGGAAAATTAATACAACTATATATATTATATATTTTAAGTTTACTTTATAAATTAGAAATATTTTTATTTTTTATTTATTTAATTTAATTTTCTAATATATTAAAAAAACCAATTATATCAATTAAAATAAATGTTTTAATATAATTGTCACATATCCTGCTTATATTAAATTCTTGTAAATATTGAAAAAAATTTATCTTCATTTAATGATAAATGTATGAATTATTAATTTTTATATACTAAACAGAAGATGTGTGCAAGCCGTTTTATTTTTTCATATTTTATATTAAAAATATAAATTTTATGCCAATATATTTTATTTTCTGCTCAAACATAGCATTAGCATAGCTATTTACACAAAAATAAATTAATATCGTTTTATTTATAAGCAAAAAATAATTTTAATTTGACGAAATACGCAACTTCAATTTTTTATATAATACTAGCTTACGCTGTCCCGTTTAAAACGGACTACAAATATAATGTGTGTTCTTTCTTTTTAATGAATTTAATGCGCCTTTATGTATGTACTAATTATTTTAATAACAAATGGTTCTTTTTATTATACATTAAAACTTGCCATAAACACCCTGTGAACAATTTAAAAAATTAAATAAAAATGCACGAAAACACTGTGCGATGCTTTTAGAAATAAACCCTACACTTATGCTATTCGTATTTAAAAAATACAAAAAATTTTACAAATTTTTAAAAAAGAAGGGTTAAAAAATAAATAAATATTCAGATTCAAACTTTTTATATATATAGATAGCTTACGCTATCCCGTTTAAAACGGGACTCAAACTCGACACGTGCTTTCTTTGTTTAAATTATGTGTATATGTCTTTATGCATGTATGTATTGTTTATTACTGAAACTGCACACTTTTATTATAAAATGACAATAGCGCGTATTTTACAATTCGAATAATTGAATAAAACTAAGGAAAAATATATCAGAAAACTTTAACTTTATATAATATAATCAACTATGAAAGATTGTTATTTATTTAAAAAAACGTTTTCCAAAATTTGAAAAAAGAGGGGTTAAAAAATAAA